GTCCTAATCTGAATTTATCATTTTTACAAATCCTTTTAAGGTAAGTCAGTTCACTCAGCGGCCATCTTGGTCAGCTATTTTCCAGTGTAAGGTCCACGCACTTGGCCCAAGGAAGGTATCCAATGGTGGCTGAAGGTTTCTTGCGTGTTCGGTCTTTTCAGCATGCAAAGTTATTTGATTTAAGTTTAATTCTAATCTGACTCCATTTTATTATCTAATCTGACTCCATTTTATTATGACCTCGCATTTGAGTTAGAATGCCAATTATTATTGATCATTTATAGGGTAAAATATCTAAACATCTGATTATTCTATTTATTCTTTAATATTATTGTACTCGTTCATTCGGGTGCTCATGTGGCTCAAAGATATCGCTTCGGCCGTTAGCGTATCTTACGATCACATTCTCGTCAGTCTTGGTTATTAGACAGAGGTAATTGGCTAATACTTTAGACGGCCGCTCCTATGCTTGCTCATTCTAAAGGTACTTTTATTTAGCCCCCATAGATTTGTATACACTTGAATGAAGCAACATTATTTCTAGTCAGAGGTCACGACCACTACTATAGATATAAGCCGACCAACATTACTTTCCCTGATAGTAGCTTTGGTGTGGTCATGCCATGGTTTCCCATGTACACTAAGCTAAAGTAACATTACAGTATTCAAACAGAGGTCATGGCTCACCCTATTTAGGTTGGTCGAACAACATCCAGTTGACCTAAATGGAAATTCCCTATAAGCCCTTACAATCTAAGTACACTTGAATTAATACCAAGTGTTAGCCGGATCTCTAAAATACAGTTGGTGTGCCCTATGCTCCATCTCAACTGAATTTTAGTCAGTTACTAACCTGACGCAAGAAATGCGGTAACAAGGATACAATGTAATCTACTAGAGTCAATAATTACAGAGTAAAACAGAATAAATGTTACAAATGTAACAATTTATTATCAGTCAGGTAAATATGTATTATGCCAATTACATAGCCAATTCAGAGATATCAAATCAATACAAAACATCAAATTCTCAAAGATGAATCTAAGAGTAAGATGCATACCTGGACACACTTCATACTATGGGCTCATTCTGGCTGCAGAATCGCCCTGATCTTCTTGCAGTTTTCACTTAAATACCTGATGTAGAACATTATATTCTACTATTGACCATTCTGAGTGAGCTGAGTGAAGGGAAGGATGGGTGAGGGGAAGGAAGGGGATGAGGAGGAACCAATGCATATGTGAGAGACGTTTTCCCGCATTTTCTCTCAGTGAGATGTGGAAACAGATGTCTGTATGTTAATGCACTGTGTGTGTATTGTCCGTCTCAGAAGATCAAAGTGTCTGAGGTTCTGTAATTCTTACACCAGTCATGCAAGTACAGCTCCTATCTGTCTGAATAGGCAAAGACTGAAATCTCTGGCTCTGTTTGTCAAGATTACTTTTATTCTAGAAGGCTAGATTGTTCAATGTTAAATTATTGTATACACTGTTCATTATTAAAAAGTGTAAGGTGCAGCAGATGTTACAGCAAATGGACATATTCTACCCCCATGGCTGCCAAATGCACCTGGTCAGGTTGTTTATAAGGGTCTGACACCCCTCTGTGGCCACACAGTCACACCTGGTATCTCCTGTCTTCTCTCTGCCTCCTGCCTGCATATGATATGATGACACTCTATAAACTCCTTAAAAAGACAAAGAAACAGAGGGGAGGAACGACTCACAGAAGTTTAGTCTTGAACACCTCGCCTCTATAAAACAGGTTACACAACAGTCCCATAAGATCGTTAATGCGTTAATTTTTATTTTGAATGTACACTGAAAAAATTTTATCCTATGGTAACATCTAAATTAATTGGTTTTAATCAAGTCAAAAATAATATTTAATATTGCAGAATCAACCCAAATACAATAATTGATATCAACAAAACTAATTTTAACAGGGAAAATCAGAATTTAGAATGAACTCTTGAAGGTAACAATTGTAGGTTACCAATTTTTACAGTGTATCAAGTGAGGAGCCAATCATCTCAGAAGCTATATTCTATATACATTTTACATATCTAGATTGTTAATTGTATACAGATATGATTTAAGCTCTAAAGCTGTTTAAATCAATTTTACCATAATTCTTTGGGGTTTTAGTGTCACACTGTCATGGAGGTGAACTTGTAAAATTGGATATAATTTTACTCAAAAAAGGCTAGTATCTGTGAAAAGAACTCTTCAGTTGATCTGCAATATGCCATAGCAATTTGGACAGTATTACTACTTGCTAGCATCTTTTTTTAAAAGTCAGATCGTAAATGTAAAAAAATGACAAAGAAATGGCAAGTAACACATTGATTTAAATGTAAAATTTTGAAGTAGAAAACTGAAACAGTATTTACTTGTAAAACATAACCCAATAATCTGTTTTATTTACTACTTCAAATTTTTTTTTACAGTGTACATGTGGAAATAAACAAATATAAAATTAATAAATGCATATAAATAAATAAATAAATGAAAGTTAAAAATACATGAAGAATAATTAATCTTTTCTGTAAGAAATTACAGTTTTTGTTAAACAACCAATTCAAGAAAAGGCAAAGTAACCTAATGCATTGGCAAATAAACTGCATTCTGCTAAATTTTGGAAGCCAGAGCATATCAAATAAAAGCTTGCCGAAAGCTGAGTATGTTGTGTCGTGTCCAGTTTAAGTACCGAATATTGTTAAAAGTGTGATTTAAAATAGGGGTTACAAGGCTAGCTAACACACTCAGTGTAGGTTATATTTTTAAGTTTATTTACTCAATGTTTTGTCTACGAAAATCCCACTGAATATTCTCATTAGAGCCCAGAGAGAGAAAAAAAAAAGTTAATTTACACACTTGGTAGAAACGTGCTTCCACACTTATGCAGCAAGTTGTCATTTGATATATATCTAAAATAATAACAACAAAAAAATTGGCTTTTCATCTAAATTTAAAAAATGAATGACTTAAGAGCTACTGTATTCCAATGATATTGCACATTTGATGTTGATATGATGATATTGCATTGTTTGTTTTGGAGGATAATAATATCCCAATTGAGGTGTTTGAAACAAAAAATACTAGGTCACTGCCACAGAAAACAAGCATTTGTAGTCAGACATTTGACTCAGAACCTTCTAATTACAACAATTACTATATAATTGATCTATATAGCCCTTGTGAAGATTCCCCATGTGAGAAGCCCCTTTTAAATAATTCCTGTCAGGAGCTAAGTTAACATGCACCATGCTTGGATATCTGATCTGTATATTATAGCAATGCCAAATGATCTTGTCAGATTTCGATTTACTGATAACGTGCATATATTTCCATTTATGAACATATGGTTCAGAGACAATTTCTATGAGGACCTTTGGTAAGCTGGAGCCGTGTACCTCTGAAGAGAGTGACGGCATCACGATTGTTTGCTCTGTGTGCCGATGCAGTTCATTTAGACGCTCGAGTCATTTGCGCCCCTGACGCACGAATCCGTTCTGAACATCTCATTGTTTACAGATCTGGATTAAGCGCTCGTGCAGTGATGACTCATATTGCACCATGATTCACATCCTCACGCAGTCGCATGCATTCATCCTGTGCTGTTCGCTTCACTGCAGTATTTCCCCCAGTGAGCGACAAGCAGTGTTGCGCACTCGAAGTCTCCTCGAAGCAAACAGCTCTGTCCAGCTTGTGTAGGCTATGTTTAATTCAAGAATGAATGCTTGATAGGTATCACAGCATTGACTTGAAATTTGTATTTAAATCAGCGTTAGGGGCCGTTCGCACAGGACGCAGTCTTGCGTTCAAACAGCGTGGTGGAGACGCGTTTTGAAACTGTTTAAAACTTGACGCGACGCTTAAGTAACAGCGTGACCGCATCCAAAGTCCAAGACGTCCGTCTGACGCATTTCTACAAAGACCAAAATAAACAAAGGCACAGACAAAACGCGAGGACACAGTGGGAATGTGTCTGTATCAGAAACAACCAGACGGAACGCAACATGATGGAAAATCTCGAGATGCGGTGCTCGAGCACTATTTTAACTCGACTGGCGTCTGAAAAAAATAAATACATATATAAATAAATAATAAAAAAAACTATTTTAACGCGAGACGCTGAACATGTAGACAGGTAGACACGACGCGACGCTACCAAAGACGTCCGTCTGACACATGTCATAGACCAACAATTAAAAACAGCGCGATGGTGCGCAACGGTATGAAGCCGAAGTTACGCAGGGGTTTTAAGGCACGTTTTGAACAGCTAAGGGCGTCTTAACGAGACGAGTTTAGAAATAACAGCGAGACACGACAACGGCGAAAAACGTCCGTCATACTTCTGTAATTGACCAACAATCGAAACAACAGCGCAGACGGAAAACAAGAAGGCGTTCTGTTTATTAAGTTGAACAACCACGGCAATTCGTTTTTATTGTTGCCTCTCAATACGAGCTCATAATTTAAACAACGTCGCTCTGTTGACATTTATGCAGTATGTTTATAGCAGAGCTGTTATACATGTACTCCTGCTCGTCGAGCGTCTATTTTTACCGAAACCCGAAACCTTAATGTGATGTAGCATAGTTTTTTTCAATGTGTGTTTTTCTCCTTTCAGCACTGGATAGCTCCTTCAGTTCTACAAACACGCCCTCCGTCAAATGACTGACAGCAGAAAAGACCATACACCAATCAAGGGCACTTTCCCAAACCCTATAAGGTGATGAAGAAGAATCGGTTCTTTCGAACAGTTCAGTTCAGTTCAATGCAGCCGATTCGTAACCCGTGAACTGGATAAGCGCTCTGACCGAACGAGTCTGATCTGCGAACCGGTTCAAATACTTCGTTTAAAATAACCGATTCAATGAACGATTCCTACGCGAATCGGACATCTCTAGATGTTATAGCAAATGGTTTCTGCCGTTCTCATGCTTTAAGACTGGAGTGGACGAAAGAGGGCGGAGTGTGTTTGTCATCCAAGTGTGAAGTACTTATCCCTGCCTCCGATAAATAGGATTTCTTTTCCCTCTCATTCGATCACGTCTGTTGTGGTCCAGCATCATATTGGGAGGAGAGCGTCGGGGATCCTGCACATCTGCTGCGCTCCTGCTAGGAGATACAAGACCGAGCCAGCATCACTTACACAAACAACGCCAATGTACCTGAGGGGAAAGGGATTACCGATGCAATAACTAGAATAGTCTTCTGGCCAGGAATCAGGTATCAGAAATGCGTGAAAATCCACAGGTGAAAATGCTGTGCTGATTTGATTCACTCCAGCTGTGATTTCTCGCATCAGAATTGGTGAACTGAAGCTGGTAAGGTAAAAGAGCTGGACTGAAGGATATGGCCATAATCCGGATATCGTTACTCTTGCAAGTGGGATTTGTTATAGGATCAAATTATAGATATGTGGAACACGATCGGGACCTAAAAGCAAAGCTACCCATTTACAATACGCACAGCAATCAGCAAGCGCACCTCCGGAAACCCCATTCGGGTTTAGCGCTGAAGACTGAGGAACAGGTACCCAGAGTGGTGACTGCGTTTCTGCACACGGGGGATTCCTCCACCTTAAAACACGCCAGCTGCTCCAGGAGATATGAGCTGGCGGTGTCGCGGGGCAGGACGCGCGGAGACGCGCATCACGCCATGCGCAGCGTCCTGGACACGGTTCTTCACGCCACAAACTTCCTCAACATGGTCCTACGAACGAACAAGTCCAGACATCACAGCCCCAGACGCGATATGGAGTGGTACCACGCTCTGGTCAGGAGTATCCTGGAGGGAGACCTCAAGATCCATCGAGCAGTGGTCACCTTGAGCACCGAGTCCCCTCCTGAAGGGCCACCTGTTTACCTTCAGGCCACACGGGCAGGTGGAGAGATCATTCTCCAGGATTTATCCAGCACTGCCCACCATATACTGAAAAACAGAACGGCTGATACCGAGTGGTACCATGAGCATAAACATAAAAAGAAGACCCATCTCCAAAAACGAGTGCCGAGTCAAGATGTTGCCTCTTTTGACGCGTCTGTGCGCAATGGAGAAAGTTATATTACCGACAAAACTCAGATTCACTGGTCAGCTCCGTATCTGGAGTGTAAAAATGGGAATTTCATTCCCAAATGGCTCATGACACTCTCTGCTGGCTTCTATGGCCTTAAACCCAACCGGAATCCAGACTTCAGGTAACTTTGATAACATGGATTGTTCAGTTTGTGTAGGCCTACTACATGATTAATGCACACAGAAAAAAATAAATGGTATAGAAATAATTTTTACTCAGAAATTGCCAAATTTCACAAACAATTATAAAGAAAGAGCAAGTAACACACTGAATTAAATGTGAACACATAAATGTGTAAAACATAATCAAATAATCTTTATTTACAACTTTGAAAATTATTTTTTTTACATTGCAGATTATCCACACAGAATCTGTTATTATGAGGATTACTATGTTCTGTTTAGTAGGAATTAGTCTTTTTTTTAATTTAGCAAATTAAATCATTATTATAATTAATTCAAGTTGATTTCTATAGTTCTTACAATACAAAAAAAAAAGTTTAAATGCATGTTTCAGTGTGCATTTCAATCAGGACATATTCTGTTATCGGTCAGAGTTGAGTGTGTCCAAACAATGTCCATTATTACAAAATTGCAACGTTACCTAATGCAGTAGCAATAATTGTTTTTCATAGTCTTATTGTTCACATATTTGTATTTTATCCTTCGGATGTTATTGGTTAGTATGACAAACCATCACTGCAGGTGTAGAGAGTGCTTCTAAAAATAACCAATGCTGGTTGCATAGCAAGAAACCCCATGGCCCCCGAACAATCAGCTCGCTTCTCAATATACAACCACGGTTATTGGAGATGATTAGACTGATCAGGCTAACATGGTGGAGATGTTGTGTACAAGGATTCTCGACTCAGTTCAAAGATGAGTTAAGGGGCGCCGATAACACTGGAGCTCAGAGACAGGAATAGGAATAGAATCCTGTTTACTAATTAATCCCACGGGTACCAGTACCATAGACGCCACGATTGTTCGTTATAAGTTCTTTTGATTTTTGTGTGAATCATCATCTATGATGTGATTGACTTGAATGCATTTATTTTATAGTTGGACTGTGGTATGTAACAATTCACGGACCAAGCTCAATTTGCAGCGTATGGCAAAAATGGTGTTTCCGTTTATATCTGCCATCTTCAAATTCTCCAGTCTGTCGTCTAAATAAGCAAAGCCAGCGGAAGCCAGTGTCTCTCTGGGTTTGTTCAGTAGTTATGCTGTAATTTGTAACCTCCCTGCGCAGGTCGATATTTGGCCAAGGCTTCGTCTTATGATGGCTTGTATCCCCTGGGTAGTGAATTCCGAAACACTTGCTGGCTGTGACATAAAGGTAGATCCATCCTGTTGTCTTTAGGCCCACTCTTTGCCACCTATATGTATAAAGGGGCAATGGAGGGGGGAAGGGGTGTTCTCTAAAGCAATGTCTCCAGTTTTCACTCCCAGGATACCTTTCAGTCAATACAATAATGAATAAATAATGAAAGATGTACAACAGCAAAATAGAGGTACATCTCATACATCTGACATTTTTAGTTTAATCTTGCATGTCGGAATTTTAAATTTAGACATCATGGACAACCTGATATTTATGAAGCGAAATGTCTGGGTCATGCAGGTGAAAAGTTAATTACATCTAGTTGAGTCTTTCTTCACTTTGACAAATTCCATTATCTGGTGTAACTTGAGCTAATGGACATGTAGAGCACATGTATGATGATTAGTAAGTAGGTTTGTTCTTTTTTGGACAAACTGAGAGCGGTGCTCACCGCCACACAATTTGAGGGTGTTGTGGTTGGTTGGCAGAATATCATTACATGGTTGCTAAGGTGTTCTGAGTGATTTTAGAATGCTGCCATATGGTTGCTAGGGTTGTCTGTGGTTTCTAGGGTATTGATAGGTTGTTCTGGGTGGCTGCTTATTGGCCCAAGGGTCAATGATGTGATGTTCATTATTTTGTCAGGATCTATTAATGTATTAAAAAATGCAATTCATACATACTGTGAATTGAATAAAACTCTTGCATGTTATTAATTTTGAAAACATGCATTTTGATATTTCTTGGAGGCATAAAGTCAGTGTGGCACAATGGTCTGATTTCCTAATGAAGAGTAAAAGAATTAAATGAAAAATCCATATGGTTCAAACAACATGTAGAAATATGCAGAAAAGTATACGTGAAACAGCAATATCTTTTAAAATATAAAATTTTATGACAAGATTATGCTAGTTTAATTGTAAAATGTTCATGTTGTTCAACTCTCCAAAAACATAATATTATAGATTATATGGATTATTTATTAAGTTTTTTTTATTTATTTATTAAATTATTATTATTATTACATTTACATTTACATTTAGTCATTTAGCAGACGCTTTTATCCAAAGCGACTTACAATTGGGGGATACATAAAGCGATTCTTCTTAAGAGGCAAACAGACACAGGAAGTGGTTGTAATACCAAGTTCTTAGACATTGTTCAAATAAGTACAAGCTAGAAAGAGAAGGAATAAATAAAGAGAGAGAGTTATTTTTTTTTTATTTTTATTTATTTATTTTTTTATTAAGTAATAATCCATGATATATGTTATAATCCATGATATATGTTAAAATTTGTAACACTATATATATATATATATATATATATATATATTAAAAGACTGGGTCTCTCCCAAGTTTTTACGCGATTATTAGAAAATTAATAGGATCTGAGGCTGCTGTTTTTTCTAAATAATTGGAAAAGAGTTTGCTGATTCTAAGCAGTTGTCTGGTATAGGACTAATTATCAAATGCGGAGTGCTCATGAGATAATGAAACACAGTGGCAAACCATTCTAGAAGATTTAAATTAATTTTACTTCTTGGTTCCTGATGAGCCACAATAATTGTTTGCATGGTGAAGGCTTTCTTGTCCTTCTCTCACAGATGCCTCTATTTTATGTAGCTGTGCATTTACTGTATGTGTTGATTTCTCTCAAAGTGTAATGGGAGATTTTCTTTTGAACTTAGAAATGCATTTCTCAGTTCTTTCACAACTGCAACCATATAGACCTTGATTTGCAAGCTGGAGTACTATCCCCAAAGTGCTACAATAATTTTGGAACTTCACAATTCTTTAGAATGTAATAGTTTGGTGTAAGATTAAGATTTGCCCCCTCATTCGTATTTAAATAACTGTTTGTGTACATTAAATAGATCTAAAGTTACCAGAGCTTGCAATCTTTCTCCTTTGTCAGATGTGAGTGAGGGTTGGATGGAGAGAAAAGTGAACTCTATTAAGGCTGTCTGGTCTGCCAGGGGCCTCTGGGGACACACAAATCCACAATGTCCTATTATAACCCACATGGGCTGTAGGTCCTCTGCCCTACAAGCTCCTGCCAAGAGCCCAAGGGAGCCTGAGTTAGGAATAGGCCAATTACTACTGACATGTTAGTCTTAAAGAGACAGTGCCTATTCTGTAACATCATGTTCCTATTTGTTTTCCAATATGGGTTTTCAAGGGGTTTGCAAGCATCAAAACAATACAAAAGTTTAATACAGCTTTAATTTTTCTATACATTAGAATGTTTTATGTTGTATTCATTCATTCATCCATCCACCTGAGCAATATCATAAAATAAAAATAAAATAAAATATAATAAAATAAAATAAAGACTATAATACATTTTTACCATGATTTACAGAACACGTCCACTAAAATGTCATTCAGTGTAGCAATAGTTTACATACCAAAAATCCTGTCAGGCATATTTAGAACAAGAATCATTAGATGACATTAAAAAGAGCCCCACCAAAATAAATTAATTATCATTTTAAATCTTTACCAATCTGTGCCACTATCTCTCAAACCACTAGCTTTTACCCATTTGTCAGTTTTTAATAATTTTAAATATCATACAATTTAGTATGATCACATTTTATGTTATATATTTTAATAAGTACATGTCATAATAAGTATGTTGTTTCATTTGTACATAAATATATATGTTATGCTGAATGACAATGGAACATTATTAACTCGTATTTTGACATTTTATTTTCACAGAAGTTATTTGAAACATTAAAGTAGACACTTTACTTGCAAGTAATATTTTTTTCTATGTTTATAAAAATCACTTTTGTAAGTTTAATTTGATGCATCTTTGACCCACTTTTGACCGGTAATACTTTAATATTAGATTTAAAATATAAAATAATAAGATATAAAGTTACACTGCCGAAATTACAAGAAATGAAGTCATTTTCAAAATAGTAGACAGTATATAGTGTATACAGTGCAGTTTAACTGGTATTCCATTCAGAACATAGGTAATATGAATGCACTGAAAATGGCTACTGTTAATATTGACGTCCTATCTGACCTCTTGTCTGAACAAATCGAGTCCTTTGGGAGAAATCCGTCCATTTCCTGTGTTAGCTGGAATTAGTGTGAACACGGTTTCTTGCTGTTCTGCTCGGTTTGAATTGAATTTCAGTTTGGCATAAAAAAGCGAGAGCTCATTAAAAAGAAAACGCATGGAGACGGATGTCACCTCTTTTCATCTAACGTGAAGCAGGATCTCGCCACGAGCGCTGTTATGCTAATGTAGTCCAAAAAGAAAGGAAGACAGTTGGATAAAATTCAATTAGCCAACAAAACCTGCAGAATGAAACAGGAGACTGCTATACATACTCTCTAAAGAGCAAGCTGTCATTCTGCCGTGGACTTCATGAAATATGGATGGACGAAGCATAGAGTAATTTTTAGTATTTGTTCAGGCAGCGACAGATCCTCAGCTAGCTTCAAGGCACATGTCTATTGAATGGCAGACGATCTTAAAAGCATCCTCTTAATAAATCAAGTGCACTGAAGCATTATGTTTTAGTATGATCTCAATGTCATGTTGTGCTTCTTATTTAAGGAAACAAAATGAGGGAAATGTGAGGGAAATGCATTAGGTTGACAGGATGAGTTTTGGCTAATGTGACTCAAGACCCTGCTTGTCTTCTGTGCTTTGACATCGGGGTCATTCCATCGAGTACTGTCGGCCGTTATCAAAGTCTTTAATGTCAGCGAGCGCAGCCACGGCATCTCTTTGTACCCTCACATTTCAGCCCTTACCCCATTGCAATAACCC